TCAACTTGCTTTATTTTTTTTTATTTTTTTTTAAATTTTTATTAAAGTTTTAAACAAAGAAAAAAGAAAAAACAACACGCACAAAAAAAATACAAAATTTAACAATAAAAACACACAACATAACAATTTAAAACAAACTCTCTTTTACATTCCCAATTTTGAATTACTTATTTTCTGGACTTCCTCATACCTCCCTCTTTTGTATTCCAATCTACATTATTTGTCAAGCAATTTCTTTTCCACTTTTTAAACCCAATCTTTAATTTAATAAAATATTAAACTATATAACATAAACATAATCCTTGTTCTTAATGTCATATACCTTTAAATTTTTCCCAATCTTAATCTTTAATCTTAATCTATCCTAGCTTTAACCTGTACAGCTGGAAACCACTTATTTTCAATCCAACATCACTCTAACATTCCTTAATTTTGCAGTGTTTCTGAAGATAGTCTTTGAATTTCTTCCAATCTTCCTCCATCGACTCTTTTTCCTGGTCACGGATTCTGCCAGTCATTTCCGCCAATTCCATATAGTCCATAAGTTTCATCTGCCATTCCTCCAGCGTAGGAAGTTCTTGTGTCTTCCAATACTTTGTGATGAGTATTCTTGCTGCTGTTGTTGCATACATAAAGAAAGTTCTATCCTTTTTAACACCATTTGGCCCACTATGCCCAGGAGAAAGGCCTCTGGTTTCTTGGGAAAGGTATACTTAAATACCTTTTTTAATTCATTATATATCATTTCCCAGAAAACCTTAATCTTTGGGCACGTCCACCAAAGGTGAAAAAATGTACCTTCAGTTTCTTTACATTTCCAACATTTGTTATCGGGCAAGTGATAAATTTTCGCAAGCTTGACTGGGGTTATGTACCACCTGTATATCATTTTCATAATATTCTCTCTTAAGGCATTACATGCCGTAAATTTCATACCAGTGGTCCATAACTGTTCCCAGTCAGCAAACATAATGTTATGTCCTACGTCCTGTGCCCATTTAATCATGGCCGATTTTACCGTTTCATCTTGAGTATTCCATTTCAGCAGCAAGTTATACATTCTTGACAGATTCTTAGTATTGGGTTCTAACAATTCTGTTTCTAATTTCGATTTTTCCACCTGGATCAACTTGCTTTATTAGCCGAGGGAGCCGGCGTACAGCTTCTGGGTCATGTGGCCAGCAAGACTAAGCCGCTTCTGGCAAACCAGAGCAGCGGACAGAAACGGCATTTACCTTCCCGCCGGAGCGGTACCTATTTATCTACTTGCACTTTGACATGCTTTCAAACTGCTAGGTTGGCAGGAGCAGAGACCGAGCAACGGGAGCTCACCCCGTCACGGGGATTCGAACTGCCGACCTTCTGATCAGCAAGCGCAAGGCTCTGTGGTTTAACCCACAGCACCACCCGCGTCCCTTCCACCATAATATTGGTAGTTAAATTTTAAAATCCTAATCTGGGCATCAGTTGCATAAAATAAACAGTAGCTATTGATTATGATGGTACTGAGTAAAAGGAAATAATACCATTGTAGTCAAAGAAACTGAAATACAAGCAGTGCAATTTATTTAAGACCATGGAAAGCATTCAAACCATGGAAAGCATTACTTGTGACTAGTGCTTTTTTCCTTGTTGTTGTTTAGTTGTGTCTGACTCTCTGTGACCCCATGGACCAGAGCACGCCAGGCACTCCTGTCTTCCACTTCCTCCTGCAGTTTGGTCAAACTCATGCTGGTAGCTTCGAGAACACTGTCCAACCATCTCGTCCTCTGCTGTCCCCTTCTCCTTGTGCCCTCCATCTTTCCCAACATCAGGGTCTTTTCCAGGGAGTCTTCTCTTCTCATGAAGTGGCCAAAGTATTGGAGCCTCAGCTTCAGGATCTGTCCTTCCAGTAAGCACTCAGGGCTGATTTCCTTCAGAATGGATAGGTTTGATCTTGCAGTCCATGGGGCTCTCAAGAGTCTCCCCCAGCACCACAATTCAAAAGCATCAATTCTCCAGCGATCAGCCTTCAGCTTTTTTCCTACATATATATATAAAGGTGCCAGTGCTGTGTACCATGGAGCTCTGCCAGAAAAAAGCACTGTTTGTTACATAGGTTGCACACCACTCCCAAACTCTGCTGATCATTAGCAAGATTTCAGTTGGGTTTCAGGAGCTTAGCCAGGGTCATGTTTCTGTAGGGAATCAAGACATGGCAGAGACTGGCTTGTCTTTAAGAAATTTGGTTTATTTTACACATATTTCAGTGGAGGACTGCTGCATTTTCAGCACTGCTTGTTCCCCACCACAGTGCAGTACTGGACTCCAAGATATCTCTGTGCCTCTGTCCTAGTCTGCCTTCAGCCAGCCCCCAATATGGTTCTGACCTTCCACCCCCTCATACAGTTCTGGCCCCTTCCTTTCTTCTTCTCAAAAGCCCTTGCTCAAACCTCAGTTTTAAAAGGACACCTTTCTTCCTGGGGAGGTGTCCCACACCCCTGATACCCTGGCAAGCTCCCCACTTTCTCGTCTGCTGCTGAATGCCTCACCTTTTATCACAGCAATGACTCAAAGGCTCCTTTCAGAAGAAGGGTGGTGTGGTGTTTGCCCGTTCATTTGAGCCTGTCTGTACAGGGGGGAGAGATAGGGTTAAAAATATAGACCAATAGGAAAGCCGGAGGCGGAGCCCACCTGTGTATAAAAGGGCTTAGCCTGAGGTTGGAGTTGTTGTTGTTGGAGTTGTTGGTGGGTAGTTGGTTGGTTTTAGTGGGTTGACTGGTTGGGAAAGGCAGTTGGAAAAGCAGTTAGCAGACAGTTGGTAATAGAGAGACAGTTAGGGCAGTGGATTCTTGAGTGAGAGGAAGTTGAAGAGAAAGAGAGAGGAAAATAAGACTAAGACAGTAAAGAGTAACAATGTTTGGAATGCCGGAAAAGTTTGTTTGTGTCTGAAATAAAATACACTCTTCTTTACTAATTGAGAACCTGAATGAGGCTGAAGTGATTTTACCGGGGAGGACCTGGTTGGTGGCAGCTCCAATCTCTGCTGATCATTAGCAAGATTCCAGCTGGGTTTCGGGAGCTTAGCCAGGGTCGTGTTTCTGTAGGGAATCAAGACATTGCAGAGACTGGTGTGTCTTTAAGAAATTCGGTTTATTTTACACATATTTCAGTGGAGGACTGCAGCGTTTGCAGGACTGCTTGTTCCCCACCGCAGTGCAGTACTGGACTCCAAGTTATCTCTGTGCCTCTGTCCTAGTCTGCCTTCAGCCAGCCCCCAATATGGTTCTGACCTTCCACCCCCTCATGCAGTTCTGGCCCCTTCTTTTCTTCTTCTCAAAAGCCCTTGCTCAAACCTCAGTTTTAAAAGGACACCTTTCTTCCTGGGGAGGTGTCCCACACCCCTGATACCCTGGCAAGCTCCCCTCTTCCTTGTCTGCTGCTGAATGCCTCACCTTTTATCACGGCAATGACTCACAGGCTCCTTTCAGAAGAAGGGTGGAATGTGATTTTTGTGGTTTGGTTTGGTTTGGTTTGGCAACCCTGTCTAGCCACACAGAAAAGCATGAGGGACAGATTGAGCCCTGGAAGTAAGAAGACAGGTTTGTTGTATGATAAAGGTAAAGGTAAAGGTACCCCTGCCTGACGGGCCAGTCTTGACAGACTCTAGGGTTGTGCGCCCATCTCACTCAAGAGGCCGGGGGCCAGCGCTGTCCGGAGACACTTCCGGGTCACGTGGCCAGCGTGACAAGCTGCATCTGGCGAGCCAGCGCAGCACACGGAACGCCGTTTACCTTCCCGCTGGTAAGCGGTCCCTATTTATCTACTTGCACCCGGGGGTGCTTTCTGTGGGAATGTTCTGGGGTGCAGGAGAGGATATATTGACTAATTATATTCTTATCCAACTTGTGCTAACAAGTTCCCAAAATATCAGCAGAGTTTATAAACATTCCCCTTTAAGTTCGCAACGGTAACGTGTGCACAGGTTCGCTAGAACCTCTATAATAATTACTCTGGTAATTTCCCCTTTTGTTCCCTCTTAAAATACAAGACACAACACAGTCTTTACAAAAGTATAAAAGAGTTTACTCACGTTCTGTTCACAACATGATCCCAGAAGGCAGACAGCTTAAAAAGGTTACATACATTCAGAATCTATCTTATAGCAAGATAGTCCTTTCCTCCTCTCTTGGCTGAGAGCCAAGAGAGCATCTTTAGATGCTTCCTCATCGAAGGAAAATGGCAGAGAGAGAGAGATGGCTGCCTGCCCTGTGCTTTTGTCATTACCTGCACAGGTGAGGCCGCACCCACCTCTGGTCACATGCGGAGGAAGTCCGTCCCCAGGAAGTTTACCTGCTTGCTGGACAGACATCCCTCCCCATGTTCTAACATGTACACTCTAGGAATGTTGTGATTGACTGCTCCTGTGTTTACATCCCACATACCCCTTCTCAGGCAATACAACATATACAAAACATAAACAAATTTATTCAACCACCCAGAGTCCCAGCTTGACACATAGATTCTGGAAACTCTCTCTTGGTAGGGGTTTTGTCAGGATGTCAGCAGTCATCTCTTGGGTGCTGCAGTAGGATAGCTCCACAAGTCCATCCTGGATCATCTGGGGTATGTAGTGGTATTTAACCCCAATGTGTTTTGTTCTGGCCAGGAACTTCTCACTCTGCGTCAGCTTCAGGCAACTTTGATTGTCCTCTAGCAAGCTGACAGGCCCTTTTCTCACCAACCCAAAGTCCTTTATGAGTTGATCAAGCCAGGCGATCTCTCTGCAGGCTTCTGTTGCTGCAACGTATTCTGATTCTGTGGAAGATAATGCTACACAGCTCTGTTTATAACTGCCCCATGCGACAGGTCCATTCCCAAACATAAAAACATGACCACTCATTGATTTATAGTCAGCATTATCCCCGGCCCAATCCACATCAGTATACCCAACCAACTTAGGGTCTCTGACGGCTGGTAACCTTAATTTACAATTCATGGTACCCTTCAAATATCGCACCACCCTCTTTACACCTGCCCAGTCATGCTCAGTGGGAGAATTAACTTTTCTGCTAAGAATCCCCACAGCATTAGCTAAGTCAGGTCTACATGTGGTAACTAAATACAAAAGTTTACCAATCGCCGACCTGTAGTCATTGTTGTCTGGCAACTGCTTCGAATCCTGCTGATTCTTCAGGAAGTCAGTAGCCATCGGTGTAGCAACTGGATGTGCGTCTTGCATCTGCATGTGCTCAACTAGCTCGTGGATCTTCTGTCTTTGGCTGAGAAGAAATGAGCCGTCCTCTTCTCTTTCCACCTGGATCCCGAGGTAGTACTGGACATCTCCTAGCTCCTTGACCTCCACCTCTTTGCTAAGGTGTTTTACTATCTGTGTATAGTCTCTCTCACTTGCTGTGGCAATAATCAGGTCATCAACAAAAGCTAAAATATATGAGAATTGTCCATTATTTGACTTACTGTACAAGCATTTGTCAGCGTCGCCTTGCTTGTACCCAAGTTGCGTCAGCATTTTATGCAACTTCTGGTTCCAGGCTCTGGCAGCCTGTTTAAGTCCATAAAGTCCTTTCTGGAGTTTGCACACTAAATGTGCTTCATGTGGTTTTACAAAACCTTTAGGCTGTTTCATATAAATTTCCTCAGAAATCTGCCCATGTAGAAAAGCAGTAGCAATGTCTATGTGTTTTACTCTCATTTTCTTGGAGGCTGCAATGCTTAAAAGCATTCTTACGCTGCTGTACCTCACAGTTGGTGCAAAACTTCATCATAGTCTTCACCAAAACGCTGTGAAAATCCCTGTGCTACAAGTCTAGCTTTGTAGCGCTGCACTTCTCCTTCTGACCCCTTCTTAACCTTGAAAACCCATTTACTGCCAATGGCCTTCTTACCGGGAGGCAGCTCAGTGAGTGTCCAGGTCTTGTTCTGATGCAGTGCATCCATCTCCTCCTGTGCAGCCTTCCTCCAGAGACTGGCTTCTGCAGCTGGCATCTCCTGTATCTCTTCCCAAGTGGAAGGTTCCTGCGGAAACGCCGACCCTGCAAAATAGGACAGCCGTAATGGTGGGACACCTTTGTTGGTTCTGGACAAATTATGTGTCTAGCTTCGCTGTTCATGCGTTTCCAAGCACTTATCTTGGCTAAATCTCCCTCAGTTGTCCCTGTAGGCTGAGGCTTTAAAGCTTCCAAAATGTGCTTATAATCTAAACATGCTATCAAGCGCTGCTTCCAGTGTATGAAATTGTATTCATTCAGCACAGGCATTCCTAGCATTGCATCACTATCAAAAGCTGCTCTAGCCATCTTAAAATCCAAAAATTTGAAAATTCTTCAAAATTTCAAAAATCTCTCAAAATTTTAAAATCAAAATCTCAAAAATCTCAAAATACAAAACAATTCTTCACTGCCTTGGGTCACTGTGAACTCTGAGGGAAGGGGGGGGGTTGCTTAATCCCCACTGCACAATGGAACAAAGGACCATGTGCTTACCAGGAAGTTAACTCAGAAAAATACTACTCAACTCAAAATCACAATCCAATGCAATCCTTCAAAAATACGCAGAAATATGCAATACTGGGGCCACTAACCCTTTGTGGGAATGTTCTGGGGTGCAGGAGAGGATATATTGACTAATTATATCCTTATCCAACTTGTGCTAACAAGTTCCCAAAATATCAGCAGAGTTTATAAACATTCCCCTTAAGTTCGCAACGGTAATGTGTGCACAGGTTCGCTAGAACCTCTATAATAATTACTCTGGTAATTTCCCTTTTGTTCCCTCTTAAAATACAAGACACAACACAGTCTTTATAAAAGTATAAAAGAGTTTACTCACGTTCTGTTCACAACATGATCCCAGAAGGCAGACAGCTTACAAAGGTTACATACATTCAGAATCTATCTTATAGCAAGATAGTCCTTTCCTCCTCTCTTGGCTGAGAGCCAAGAGAGCATCTTTAGATGCTTCCTCATCGAAGGAAAATGGCAGAGAGAGAGAGATGGCTGCCTGCCCTGTGCTTTTGTCATTACCTGCACAGGTGAGGCCACACCCACCTCTGGTCACATGCGGAGGAAGTCCGTCCCCAGGAAGTTTACCTGCTTGCTGGACAGACATCCCTCCCATGTTCTAACATGTACACTCTAGGAATGTTGTGATTGACTGCTCCTGTGTTTACATCCCACACTTTCGAACTGCTAGGTTGGCAGGCGCTGGGACCGAGCAACGGGAGTGCACCGCGCCGCGGGGATTCGAACTGCCGACCTTTCGATTGGCAAGCCCTAGGCGCTGAGGCTTTTACCCACAGCGCCACCCGC